TGGATTAATTCTAAACGCAATGAGAAGTGAAATGATGATTTAACATTTTCTAGAGGTTGCTCTGGCTGCGAAGTAGAGAGAGAAGACACCATAGGAAGGCAAGAGCAGCAGAGAGCAGGCTGGTGGTCCAGAAGATGCTGGGAGAGGCGGAGGGAAGCTGGCAGATGAAACCCACTTGACAAGTGTCAAGGCATGTAAAACAGTAACCTTTATCCAACTCTTACTAATACCAAATCATTATTTCATAAGCTGCCTCTGCTTACAGAGATGGGAACTGGGGTTCTAAGTACAGGTTTTAGCCTTTCTCTGCTCATTCTTATTGCTGAGTACTGACAAGTCAGAACCCACCCACACCTGACCTTCCAGTGGGTTTTCCAAGGCAGATAAATGTACGGGAGGAGACTGCCCATCTTTATCCCACGGAGCAGGTTGGTGGATTCAAACCATGTGCCTTTGCATTGGTAGCACACTGCAAAGGAACCCTGGTGGGAAGCTGCACTGCAATCCCAAAGGCACTCAGTTCAAATCCACCAGCTGCTCTGAGGGAGAAGGATGGGAAATCTTTTCCCAAGTGATACACTGCCTCTGAAAACTAGCTGAAGACTCAGCAGTGAGTGGATTCTGACTTGATGGCACACAACACAACAAAGCTATTATGTGCTGTCAGGCACTAGTCATGCACAGCCACCCTATGTTCAACCGACGGAAACCCTGCACCACATGCACAATTGCTGCTGTGCTCAAATCCACTGTTGTAGTCACTGAGTCAATTCACCTCATTCAGAGTCTTCTCTTTCTCGGAGTCTCTACTCTTCCAAGCATGATGTCCTTTCCAAGGACTGGCCTCTCCTGAAAACATGTCCACAGTATGAGGGATAAAGTCTCACCATCCTCCCTTCTAAGGGGCACCCTGGCTGTACGAAGGCAGATTTGTTTCTTCCTTTGGTAGTCCACAGTTTATTCAATATTTTTCACTAAAACCACAATTCAAAGGCATCTATTCTTCTTCTGTCTTCTTTGTTCGTTATCTAACCTTAACATGCATATGAACCAAATGAAAAAAAATACGTATGGCTCAGGTCAGGCCACACATTAGTCTACAAACTGACATCTGTGTTCTTGAGCATTTTAAAAAGGCCCATGGCACCATATTTGCCTAATGCAAAATGTTGATTCCTTGACTGCTGTGTTCGTGGGTGTTACTGTGAGGTCAAGTAAAATGAAATCCTTTTCAACGTCAATATTTTTTCCATGTATGATGACACTGCTTCTGGTCCAGTTGTGAGGAATTTTATTTTAAGTTGAGGTGTAATTCATACTGAAGGCCTTTGAGCTTCCTCAATAAATGCTTCAAGGTTTTTTCACCTCTTCTATTACTTTCTGCCAAACTGTCACAGGGTAGTGACTTGCTAGTCACTCTGTTCTCTAAAATCTGAGGTAAAAGAATTCTCCCTCTGGATAGCTGAGGTAGAATTATCTCTAAAATCCGGTGTGAGATAGGTCCTTCTCTAGGTTCCTTAAATAGGGATGTCACCTGTTCAATAACTATCTATGGATAACCCTTTGCCACACTATAAAAGGCTATCTGTCCCAAATGTGAAGGTGAGGTAGGCAGGATGATGCTCCCTTTGGGGGAGTTCAGTGACCAGGGTGGGCCTAGTCCTGTTCTTAGGACTATGAATGTTTTGGGGGCAAAGGTGGAATTCAGGGAGAAGGGTGTATACTAAGCAGAAGTTACTGCAATTCAGCAACTGCTATTTCCCTTTTCCTCCATCGCACATCCACAAGGTCTGAAGCTCCAATCCCTCTGGATGGATGCAACATTCAGCTGCAGATCCTGCTCCATGTCTCCTCAAACACCTGGTTCACCCATGGTTAAAAGTCATGACCATTTCCTCTAGTTTGAGTATAATTTTTCATAATACTCTATTGTTAATCTTTTTATTTCATTTAGATGTTATGACATTGCCCCTTTCATCTATTATTTGGGTTATCTGCAGCTTTTCTTTCATTTCCTTTGTTAACTTTGCTAGTGGTTTGATAATTTTATTGACCTTTTCGAAGAACCAACTCCTGGTCTTGTTAATAGTTTCAATTATCTTTATTGTATATAAAATGGGTGACCCTGGAGGACATTATGATGAGTAAAATATCTCAGTCACAAAAGGACAAATAGTGCATAATACTACTGTTATAAAACAGGATTTACATGCGGTTTGGGAGGAAACTGAGAAAATAGGGGATAAAAAATGAACGCTGCATTGGAAAAGACGAAGGAACGAATCCGTCTAAAAAGAATGTATGATTAGGTATTACTTGTTTGGCAACTGTCTGGAATAAGTGGTGCATAGCAAAGTGGACTGGGGAGGGAGGAAATTACGCAACAATTAATGAATTTTTTTAAAGTGAACTGGGTGAGAGGTATGGGGGGAAATGTGTGATAATGAATGAATGAAAATCCAACTTTTCTGTAAACTTTCGTTAAAAACAAAATAAAAAAAGGGAAAAAAAGTCAGGCCCAGCACTCTTCTTTGGGAGGGTTACCGAAACGAATGCACCCATGTTTCCCATTTCAGAACCATCTCAGGAACAGATTTGAGGCTTTGAACACTAATGAACGAAGGCCAGATGAGTTGTGGGAGGATATCAAGGGTATCATCCAG